CTCTGGTGTGGTTTGCTCCTTCTTTCCTATCGAACTTCTATCGTCCTTATCTCTCCTCCTTTTTTTTAATCATTACTCTCTTGTAACACCTCTAATCTTCAGCACTTATATGACTTTATTGTGTTGCAAGTGCCGTAAAACTCTTACTAAAACTAAAATGACAGGTACCTTTCAAAGCCCTTCTTGGAAATACATGCAAGTGGACAGTATCAAAATGTTACCCTCTTCAACTTCAAGGTGGCAAAAGTGGGCGCAGACTAGAAAAAGGCTGTTAAGTTTTAGTAAAAGTTTTACGGCACTTGCAACACAATAAGGTCATATGAGAGCCAGAAGATTAGAGGTGTTACAAGAGAGTAACAAACATAAAATAGAAGGGGGGGGGGGGGGAGATAAGGACGATAGATGTTTGATAGGAAAGAAGAAGCAAACCACACCAGAGCACCCGCCAACCACCCACAAAAAAGGTTGACAAGCTCCGGTAGAGACCAATAACGTTCAGGTTTTGCCAAAAATAATGAAAAATGTCAGAAGGAACAAAACTGAGGACGAAAGACAAGATAAAGATGGACATTGATAAAACGCAAAGGGTTGAAAGGTTCTCCATCACTGAAAGACAGAGAGAGGGTTTTTTCATTCACATAGACAACACAAAGTGAACTTCCAGAGGATGTAAGCAGCGATAAGGTATTCAAATTAAACTGGACTAACTAACACTATCATCATAAGGCAAAGACTTTTTTGAACAACAGTACAGTAAGGCAAACATAAGTTGATATGCTACATAAATATCTGAAGGTCATTGTGCAACATCTCTCCAGCTTCTTCACTTCAGTACTGATCAACATTCACTTTCAAATTTCATCCCAACACCACAGACAGAAGAGCAAGAGCAATAAAGTCATTGAGCAAGCAGACAGCATGAAATCCAAGCATTTGTCTCCACTTTTTAACAATAAGTTAGTTTAGTTTTAGTACGGGTTTTACGGCGCTCGCAAATGCATAAGGTCATATGAGCGCCAAGGGTGGATGTCACCAGAGAAATTCTTAAAGGGAAACAGACTTACTCTGCTCACCTCTCTAGCTTCAACAGCACAAAGTCTGCTTTGACTAATCAAGGCACCCTGGAAATAGCAGGTCACAAGAGAGTGACAAACATACAAAAGAAATAGAGAAAAAATTATGATAGTAAGGATGAGGAAAGAAAAAGCAGAGGTTCCCTGTTGCAATTCAGGCACAGTTATAAGCATGACATTGATGAATCAGTCAATTTACAATTACAATTCTACCATGCAAAATAACATGGTAATGTCCCCCCCTTTGGAAATGGCCTAAAGACAGACTGCCCTGGGGGGAAACAATAAGTTAAAAATAAGACTATTGAGATATAAGAGAATCCTGTACCAGTATATATATTTTTTAATCCATTTAAAAAGACAGATTTCCAGAAGACCAGCAAAAGTCAAATAAATTGTTTGGCTTCTGAGCACATCGTTGTCTCCAAAGCATTAAAAAAATGAGTTTTCGTAAGAGTTTTACAGCACTTTAAACACAATAAGGTCAAATAAGTGCCGACGCTTAGAGGTGTTACAAGAGAGTAACTAACAGAAAAAAGGAGGGGAGATAAAAGACGATAGACGTTTGATAGGAAAGAAGAAGCAAACCACACAAAAGCACCTGCCAACCACCAATTTAAAAAAAATGAATAGGTACTGGACTCATCTAATCTTGCCACACGACATACTTGCTTTTGATTATTCAATAACAGGCTGGGGATCGAGAGGACATAGGTCCATCGATAGAAACTCTACGTAGATTTTTAAATTGTCTGAGAACTGTTTGGGTATTTCAATCAAAGCAGTAGGCTATATATTATATATATATATATAAAATGGCTAAGACAGTATGCCCAAACTATGGACCATTCAGGGCGCTGAGAAGAAGCATGTTAAAAAATCCACAATTTGTGCTTGTGAGAATAGAGCTAAAAATAAATGAGATTCGGACAGTCTAGGTGCTTTGTCTTTTAAAAATGAAAGACTATAGCAGTAATTCCCGCATTGGTTCAGAAACATCCCCTTTGGCATTGAACCACAAGTAGATTGATGATAAACAATGCACTCTTCACTTTTCCTCCCTTCATTTTTATTTTATTTTATAGTAGATGTTTTACGGCGCTCGCAACTGCAAAAGGTCATATGAGCGCCAAGGGGTGTGTGTCAACAGAGAAGTCTTTACAGGGAATCAGACTTAGACTTCTCACCTCTCTAGCTTCAACAGCACAAGGTCTGCTTTGACTATCAAGGCACCCCAAAATAGCAGGTCACAAGAGAGTGACAAACATACAAAAGAAGTAGAGGAAAATGACAATAGTAAGGATCAGGAAATCTCATTATTTGTACTCACCGGGTCTTAAAGCATGACGCACCGTATGGCATGATAAAAGCTAATGTAAAGTAATAAATATCTGGACTTGGCTTAAAAGGTCATGAATTATACATACGAATAATACAGCTCTAAAAAATATACGTTGAGCTTAAAAGTCACCGGGCCCTGAAATGATGTATCATTGCCAAAACATCTGAATCAAATAATTTAAAAACATGCGTGCAACTGAATAACTGATGTTAATATATATATATATATATACATGTGTATATATATATATATATATATATATATATACAGTGCATACCAAAAAGGGAACGCACAAACTTCGAATGTTTATTAACACGCATACTCTTTTACGTCCCCAGGTTGTTAAAATGACTTCCATCTCATTTAGTATAAAGTCATTCCAATCACCATACCTGTACACACTTACACTTTTTCCCGACCGATCACCCCCCGGTGCGTCAATATATCCATCTGTCTTTTATCAACAAAAGCAAATACATTTGAGAGGGCGAGATGGAAACCCCCCGCTTAGCGACAATTGGGAAAAAATAAGAGATTTTTTGCTTGTAAAAATGTACATTGTTACCGGCTATCAGATGCACAATCGGCCTAAACCCAACACATACTTCATAAAAGCCATTAAAAATCTTCTTTTATAGCACCATTTAACACTACTTTGCCTACACGGGACGCCGATCGGCGCCGGTGCGATATATAGCACGTAGCACACCCGTATCCTGGTCCACGGGGCCAAGTGTTGCGTGCTCTGCGCGCTGCGCGGGTGGAAAGTGTTAAAAGGATAGATCTAATTCTATTGTCATTTCCACTTGTAATGGTTTCAACTTCTGTGACCTGTTCCTTATTCTCAAGCACCCCCTGTCAAATATTATATACACTTTACATGCCCAAAATCTGACGACACTCATGTCTTTTTTCAAGTGAAACTCAAAGTGTATTGCATTAATAAACATTCAAAAAAAGCAATGGTACATACATAAATAATAATATGGCATCCAGTTGTTTTCAGTTTTCAGTGCAATATGGCACTTGCAATACAAATTGTCGTTTCAATGTGGAGGACTAGAAGTGTCACTAGAGAGTAACATACAAAGAAAAGGTGGAGAAGAGATAAGGATGATAGATGTGCGTGCGATGGGGAAGGAGGTACAAACCACGTCAGAGTGCCCATAGATCCCCCACATGGCATCTTGCGAAGAAACCTCAGAGAAATCCGCTCCCAAGTACTTCGGAGTACGGCAGAGATGTCAACCGTCCCGGAATTTGCGGGACCATCCCGGATTTTTACTTTTTCCCCCCCAAAGTCCCGCCCTCAAGATCATACCGGCGCAAATTGTATTTCTGTCCTAGATCCTAACCCCTTTGTTCTGACCGTACACCGTTTCGATTTACTGTAAACGCGTTTTTTCCCGTGTGGACTTTTTTATTCGCGAGATTGAGACAGACAGACCAGTGTAGCGAGGTTTTAATTTTCGCAAACTTCTCAGCTACAAGCAACAAGATATTATCACAGTAAAGAAAGACAGAAGAAGGAAAAATGTGGTGAGGTTGATATTTTCGCTAATTTTTTCAAATCTGGTCGCGTTTTTATTATTATTCTCCCGCACATGCGCTGTAGTCTATAATACTTGGTCAACATCCTGCTCGCTCCTAGGCCTAACGTTCTAGGTCATTGTGAGTTGTAGAGTTGTTGTGCTAACGTCTGCTAACGCCACTTCTTCACCATGGCCAACAAGTGACCTCCCGAGCCTTGTGATTTATGTACGAAGTCAAAAAGCTGTGCAAATTATGTGGATGCAAATGTTGTGCACTGGGAAAGAGTGGTGAAAGAAAACTGTTAACGCCACGCCTCTGGGCGAGGAAGGGCAGTGGGGCTGCAATTTGGGGGTAGATGTGACCCCATCTATGTGACACTTGAGCGATGCAGATGGTCAGGGTGGTGTGGGTGTGGAATCTCATGAGTGCCAGTGAAAGTGCTCGAGTCGCTCCAGCGCGGAAACTTTCCTGGGTAGCCAGAGGCCAGAGGTGTGAAATTAGTTTGACCAATGTCTGCCACCCTGATCGTGCAGCGAGCCGAGAAAAGAGTTCCTCGAATCGTTGTTACATGGCAATGAGGGGTCGCACAGGTTGACTGTGCTTGTTACATCAATGGGTGGAGTAAAAGGTGGAAGCAAAGGAGATGTTCAAACATTTCTGTTTTTCATAGGTCAAACAATTAGTAAACGACAAATGCAGTTTTTGGGACACCTGAATAGACATAAGGGTCTTGAACATCTAGCTCTCACTGGCAAAATTGAGGGCAAGCGAGGCAGGGGTAGGTCCAGAACAACATACTTAGGGAACCTGAACAAATGGGTAACAGGAAAAGATCAGGGAAACGTAGCTTTTTTGAGATCATCCGAGCAAAGGAATGAATGGAAAACCATGATCGTCGATGTCTGTTGCAGATCTGGCACTGGATGATGATGATAGGTCAAACAGTGGTCCTATGAAATGCAAGCACTGGTGGTAATTGGATAAGTCAGACTGACGCATGTCATTATCAGAGAGGATAGCAGGTGAGAGGTGTGAAGTTTGGACCACTGCTTGCCGACCAGACAAGCGACCCTTGATCCCACTGGCTGAGCCTTTGAAACCCCCCCTCCATCTCCCCCACTGAATTCCCCTGTCTGAGACAAAAAATTTTTCTGGCTCCCTTGCAATTCCGTCTTTCACAGGTTCGACTGCATTACAAATCGACTATGGCAAAAAACATATATTGTAAGTAAATGCAAATAAGAACATAAAATTGCCCATTTTCAAGACATTTATGATAAGTTGTGCAAATATAACAGACAAACCCGTCTACTTTCACGTCATTTATGATAGGCGGTGTACGATAAATAGAAATGGAGGAGTTTAAGAAATAAACCGGATTTAACGTAAATCCAATCACAATTCTTCCATGGGTAAAAATAAAATTGGAGGGTTCTGATTTTATCAGTCTTTGGCGGGTCTGCAATTCCCATATAGACTATTATGACAAATATAGCCTGGCACACACACAGCAGACACGTAGAGAGCCAACAGATTTTCAGGTCCCAAATCTTTTCTAATAGATGTATATTCCCTGTATTCAAAACATTGTGACCTCAGTGCTTTCTTGTCATATCTCTCCATTTTTAATAACAGTTAAAAACAGTTCATAACAAAGAGTGAGCTTAAGAAAAAGTCACATTTTAACCTTTTTTAAAATGGAGATACGACAAGAAAGCATTGAGGTCGCGACATAGACGTATAGCAGATTTTTCACACGATGAAAAGATTAGCAGATCTTTCACACGATGAAAAGATTTCCGCATCTCGCCGATATCACTGTCAGCGTGCTCGACAACATACCCAATCACAAAGTAGAACTGTCCCCGATCACAAAGCAGACCCGTAACCCTTGATTCCATTCGTGCACGGTACAACAGTCACATTATTTTCATCGGAATCAGTTTTGGCAAAGATAACAGTGCCCTCTTCGGGCGACAGGAGTTCTATAGATTTGGACTTTGAAGGTCCCTGGAATCGGAAAACGTCGATGTAATACGTGGAGCCGTTAAAAAAAGCAACGATGAGGAATGTGACCAAGAGGGCGCAGTGGGCGGCAAAGTAGTTGTACCATATCAGGTTGAAGAACAGCATTCCCAGGACCAGCGCCAGCCACCAGACTGTATACAGAAGGAACCGGAACCTGTGGATGCAGAAAGATATCATTGTGAGACAGGCTGGTGAAATCAGCATAAAGTAAAGATATCATTGTGAGACAGAATGGTGACATCAGCATAAAGTAAAGATATCATTGTGAGACAGCATGGTGAAATCAGCACAAAGATATCATTGTGAGACAGTGTGGTGAAATCAGCACAAAGATATCATTGTGAGACAGCATGATAAAATCAGCATCAAGATATCATTGTGAGACAAGCTGGTGAAATCAGCACAAAGATATAATTGTGAGACAGTATGGTGAAATCAGCACAAAGATATCATTGTGAGACAGGCTGGTGAAATCAGCACAAAGATATCATTGTGAGACAGAATGGTGAAATCAGCATAAAGTAAAGATATCATTGTGAGACAGCATGGTGAAATCAGCACAAAGATATAATTGTGAGACAGTGTGGTGAAATCAGCACAAAGATATCATTGTGAGACAGTATGGTGAAATCAGCACAAAGATATCATTGTGAGACAGAATGGTGAAATCATCATAAAGATATCATTGTGAGACAGAAAGGTGAAATCAGCACAAAGATATCATTATGAGACAGAATGGTGAAATCATCATAAAGATATCATTGTGAGACAGAAAGGTGAAATCAGCACAAAGATATCATTGTGAGACAGAAAGGTGAAATCAGCACAAAGATATCATTGTAAGACAGTATGGTGAAATCAGCACAAAGATATCATTGTGAGCTCAGTGTGTTGAAATGAGCATAAAGATATCATTGTGAGCTCAGGCAGTGTTGTGAAATGAGCATAAAGATATCATTGTGGGCTCAGGCAGTGTGGTGAAATCAGCAGTTTTCAGTAAAATCAACACAAAAATGTGCTTTTAAATAGACATAAAATGTGTTGAGCCAAAATAAAGAAAATTAGAAAAACAATTGCCCATCAGCCCAAAAAATGCAGATTTCTTTGATTTCATTATTTTGACGAGCGCCTGATTTCACCATGATGCCTCACATTTTTAAAAAAAAATGCAAGGGGGAAAAGTGGGGAGAGGTAATTTGTACGGGTGAATGTCCTGGACAGGTGGCTGTTAGAGCAGGCTCTACTGTATGTGTACCCACTCAAAAACACTTACTTTGATCCCAACAAATTGCAGGCACGGAACATGAAAGAATTCTCGTCAGATGTCACATAGCGATAGAGAATCAAGTATTCTTCCGAAGGCTTCAAAACCAAGTTGACTAAAACACCATAAAAGATCTGAAAAATAGAAGAAAAATGAAAACATAATCCATGCTATCCATACTTGAAGTGAACTATTGACATCTATAGGCAATATATCGAGTACAAAAATCACTTTCAGGTAGAAAACAGGAAAAAACAAAAACACCAGCAAAACTGTGTAAAGGCACTTTTTGAGGTCACTGACCCCAAGCTTTTCCCCTTCATTCTCACCATAGTACAAATAGCAATTCACTACTATCTGAAGGTTAAAAAAAGGTTTATATGCTGACTTAAAAGTTTTCAGGTTTCTTTCATTTTAAATAGAACATTTTTTTTTAAAGATGTAGAAGGAGGGGAGATAAGGATGATAGATGTTTGACAGGAAAGAAGGAGCAAACCACACCAAAGCCCCCGCCAACCACCCACTTAGCAAGGTTTAACGGCGCTCACAACTGCATAAGGTCATATGAGAGCCAAGGGGTGGATGTCAATCGAGAAGTCCAAACAGGGAATGAGGCTTTCTCTGCTCATCTCTCTAGCTTCAACAGCACAAAATCTTCTTCAACTATCAAGGCACCCCGGAAATAGCAGTTCACAAGAGAGTGACAAACATACGAAAGAAGTAGAGAAAAAATGATAGTAGTAAGCATTAGGAAAGAAAAAGCAGCAGTTCCCCATACGCAGTTCAGGCAGTTATGAGCATGACATTGATGAGTCAGCCCATTTACAATTCTACTGAGCATAAGAACATGTTAATATCCCCCCCTTGGGAATGGCCTTAACCCTTCCAGCCCCATGTGTGTATATTTTCAGCAGCCCTTGTACCTCACACTGTCCCAAGTGCGTATATTCTCAGTTTCGGGGGAAGCAAATTTGCGCATTTTTCGAAATTAGCAAACTTTAATTTTCGTAATATTTGTTCATTTACCTTTAAACAGTGCTATTTGTTATTATCTAAACATCATTACAAAGATACTATATCACTTTTTAGAATACATGCCTCTTTTTCTGAAATACTGCTGTATTGGTTGGGACTGCGCTTAGGGAATGCACAAAAGCGGCTTGAGATGGAAGGGTTAAGACACTTGAGTCAGTAGCACCGCCCTGGGGGGTAACCAGGATGTTGACTTTCTGGCTCCTCCATCACATACCTGGTGGGGGGTTCTCGTGGCCTAGAGGTTAAGGTGTTTGCCTCTCATTCAAAGGTCCCGGGTTCGAATCCAGGTAGAGACCAAAAAATTTTCTTCTCTAAAATTGTCTCCTTTCACCTCCTTTCCAGCTCTCTAGCAATGTTCTGTCGTCTGCTTTCACCTCCACTTTCTGCCCCTACCCCTCACCTCCTTTGCCCCTGACTCTTTCTGCAGCCTTTCTACTGCTACTCCTTGGCTCCTTCTTACTGCTGTCTTTCAGCAACACCCCTGATCCTATGGTAGGAAAGATCTACACCTAGCCTTCTCGGAAAAGGGCAAAAAATCTCGGAGGGTGTAGTGCAAGTTGCGCACTTTAAAGAGTCCTTGGTGGTCTAAAATCGATAAGAGAAGGCTTCGGCCACCACCCGGGCAAAATTAAAAATTTCCTACCAACTGAAAATACTTAATGTGTCCTATGCGCTCATATGAGCTTATACAGTGGCGAAGGCCGTAAAACACTTACTAAAAATGTTTTTTTAAAAATACCTGGTGGGAGACGGCAAAACCGAAAGGTACAGCAACAAGCCAGACAAAGGACACTCCGAGGTGGCATTGTGGGAAGTCTTTGTACCAGTATTTGCCCGTTTCTTCAGGATACCACCGGATTCTGATGATGAAAAAAAATGTGGAGATATTTGAGTGACTTGAATAAATGTGAGGCAGCATAGTGAAATCAAGTGCTTGTCAAAATAAAGAAAGAGAAGAAACTGGCATTTTTTCCGCAGGTTTGTGAAGTTTCAACGAATTTTCTTATTTTAGCATTACACCTTTCATGCCCCTAAAAGAACACATTTCGGTGTGGATTTTACCTAAAAAAAACTTCGATTAAAAGCACCAAAAAATATAAATTTTCAGTTTTCACGGACTCTCAAGTTAAAGAAACGACTCATCTTTGGTGGCCATTTTTTCACTAATTTTACCTCTGAAACCAGGTGACCCCCCCCCCC